AAAAAAAAAAAAAAAAAACAGCGCTGTTGGCGACAAAAATTGCAGGGAACTATGTAGAAACGCACCACCACACTAGCAGTCAGTGCGCTAGCCATTAATAATATTTGATCAGCCGAATTCCAGAAAGCGGTTTCCGACTTAACGGCTGAAAACAAATTTTTATTGCTTTATCCAGCACTGATGTATTTGAGTTTGAGTTTGGATTGCTAAAGCATAGTTGAGCACAACTGCAAGATTTTGTCTTGTAGTGAAAGCGCAAGCTTACTAGCTTTCTCTGAGAAATTAGTTTCTTGCTTAGTATTATAAACTCATATAACCCATAATTTCTACTCCTATCACCAATTTTTGCTTCCAAACAAGGTAATTCCCTTCCGAGCAATCCTGCAGTCCTTTTTTCTCACTGTTGCAGTCCTGGAGTCCAAAACAGCGCTCCAGTTCTTTGCCCCTTCCGCCCAGCTCCACCTCTACCATTCGTCAGGGAGGGCTATACTAAAATTATCGCGACTTGCCCTCCATTCTGGCGGAACGAGCTGGATTTTTGTGATTGCCTGGTTGCAAGGATTTAGTGATTCTGATGTTCGTTTCGTGTCTGACACACAGCGTACCTTTAGCAGTTTCAAGATATCGACGTCTTGCAAGTGAGTTAGCGATATGCTTGTGGAATATAGCCAAGTCACCTCCAAGTTATCACTTCCAGATGAGGATGAGAGACTTTAGGAGCATTAAGTAACAGTTTTTAAAATACAGTAAGAGGGATGGTGGAAAACAAATAACTTATAAGTTGCTAGCGATTTATTTTATACCTTCTTAACAAGTAAACGCCCGTCTACCGCCCAAATCAATTAACTAACTGATACGAATGAGCGACAGTGTTCACAGCAGCACTATAAGCATGCAAAGCAAGCAAAAAGGCGGAAAACGATCGCTCAAAATAAAATCCAAAACATGCTTTTCACCAATGCTTCGTCATTATCGGAATGTTAGTACGGCATAATAGTATTTAAATTAAGAAGATATCGTAAATATTTCAACCTGAACAGTACTCAAGTCTCCTCCTCCTCTCCTCCCGCCTGCCCCCTCCTCCCACTCCCTCACTCCCCCCGCTGCACTCTGTTAACATAGTACGACAGCTGGAAAACAAGTCACATACCTGCTTTTTTTTTTTTTTGAATAAGCATTATGATAATAAGCAAGTCAGAATGCTTATTTTGATTAGAAAAACGTTCTGCTCAACGTTTTTATTGGCGTATTTCGCGTTTGGCTGATAATTATGGTCTATTCATGCTGTGAGTTAAAATGCGGCTAATATTTTTAGCAAAAATTTACGTTTGTTTTTTAACCACTTATTTTGATGGCATTTCCACTTTGCAGAAGCTCCGGATCAGGAAATTTTGATGAAAAAGAAGATGTCTACATCGTTCTGCTAATTTCGCTTTTTATAAAACTTTTTAATGTCCCAAGATTTTTCCTACTGACGAGTGTATTTATATTTCAAAATAAAATAAAGATTTAAAAATGCATTTGTTCTGGTCATACTTCACATTTTACTACTTTACATTTTATAACATAAACGTATTCTTCTGCTATTGAGGTTGCTAGCAGGATAAAACGATTCACCTGCAGAGCTACACTGTAAAATTATAAACTCAAATTTTTTACCAAAGGCGCACTAACGAAATGAAGGGTAAAGCAGTAAAGATTTAATAGAATTAATTTCTTAATATTCCATACAAGTGGTATCTTATTGCACATAATGTAACTGTATATTAATTTGTACTGGGACAAAACCCCTCTAAAAGGAATGGTGCATTACGGAGTTACGTAGATGCGGTGTGCCCAGAAGAAAAATTACCGGCGTCAGAAATACAGATGAGTAGGCAGCAGCCAAAGTGTGCGTGTAAATTTGTGTTTTCAGGAAATTTTTTTTTTTTTCAAACGACCTTAATAGATATTTCCTAAGCGCTAAAGAACTGCAGTTAGCCATCAGAATGAAAGCATAAACTAGGCAGAGATTAATTCTTCTTTTTCCAGTGGGCGATGGCAGTCAACGACTGTTCGATCTTGTGAATAACGACAGGTTGCCGGCATGTCAACTATTAAATTGCATTAGAGGGATTCAAGCAAGCAATGCTGAATTGAATTTTGAGCTGCAAAATTTGGCTGCATCTTGCTTGATTCGTTTCCATGCTGATGGCAATACTTAACTTTCTAGACTGTTGTGTCGCAAAAAATTAACAGGGCGAAAAACAGCAGAGGCAAAGTGCTGCAAAATAAAAAAGGTAGTCCAGTAAAGTGCAGATAGTGCAATAAAGTGAAGGTAATAAAATATCCTCATTTCTTTCTGCAAATTTTCTTCGTTAGAAATAAAAACAAAAAAACCCTCAGCAGCAAAACGTTGCAAGAAACAGCAATTAAAAGAAGTGCAATCCCTAAACATTATTCTCTTTCCCTCTGAACTACTGCTCGGAGAATAAGACATAATGTTTAAATATAGCAATATCTAAATATGGCAACAGTAGTAGAAAAATTGTTTTTTTTATAGCCAAATTTCCTCCCATGCAAAATTGTTCTGTAAAGGACATGGGCGTATTAATGGGCTCTAATGCAACGAATTCAAACTAAGAGCTAGTTATTGCAACTCCATTATCAACATTGCTCACTTTATTTAAGGGTAATTTCTCCCACTTGCTAAATCTCGACGGCCCAGCGATAACTGGGAAAAAAGGCTGCTTTAGGTTTGCGGAAGTCAAATGCATCAAAATATGTATGTTCGATTCTCCTCTATTTGCTGGTTGACAATATGTACGGCGCCATAGATAAAATTTGGGACGCCGCATTGCATATTGCAACAATGTTGGAAAAGTATGAAGTGTTGAAAGGTAAAAATTTTTGCATTCGTTTCGTCAATAAGCTGAAGGACATGAATGCTGATTTCTTTGAAGGCGTGCGTATATTTTAGTTACTCGGTTTTCGCAATTTTGGTGACAAACAACTGCGACGGACAATGAGCACCACACA